GGTACCCATCCCTAAAGCCACATAGAATACAGGAATCCTCAGATTTGCCCAGGTATCTATTTAATCAGATCCCACACGAAAATACTAAGGGCCACTCATTTGACGAGTTCTCTCTCTCCCCTGGATACCTACTACTTTGAGCAGGTTTACATTCGCCTGCCCACAAACCAACAGATGAGTAATGGAAGAGGAAATGCAGGTCCATAATCCCTTATCTGAAAACTTGGAGGTCAGATGTGCCTCAAAATTCAGACTTTGTAATTCTAGAAAGGTAACACAATGCATTTAGCACACATTATGTGACACTCAGAAATCAAACTCATTAATATTACTGCAGCCAAAACTTAGCAGTATTCAAACTAAGTGAGATAAATATACACTGCAGACTCCCACCTTGGTTCGGGCTAAGTTTTACCCACCAATGGAGTATGCAAAAAGCCTCAAAAAAACTGTTCTGGTTTTCAGAGCTTTTCAAATTTCAGAATTGTCCATAAACGATTACAAATGCATGCACATGGCTCAAACAGTAGAAGAAAACAGTCTACATACAAGTGATCAAAGACATACAATCACGGTGCCCATTTTTGCCTTACAAATTAGCACATATGTTTTTCAGAGAAAATGCCAAAGGCGTGAGAAGTGAGTCCTTGGACTTGCTGTGAGAATGTAAACTGAGACAATGGTCAGACCTAAGACTGGTGTCATCAGTGGCCTCAAAACATGAATAACTTTGACCCCAAAACTGCCTTTTCAGGAACCCAATTTCTATGGAATTCATCAATATCGAGACAAAGCTTTAGGCATAGATGTTCACTGAAACAAGGAGTTTTAAATTTTGATTACAAATAATTAACAAAAACTGAAATCTAAAATGGAGGACAGTGAAGTAAAATACAGAGACTCCATATACTGGAATTTTATGCAGTGGTTTTTTTGAGTGTATTGGGAAATGAAGACACCTTTAAGTATAACACGAGGTTAGAAATGCACGATACAAGGGTACGCTTGCACTGTGATCCTATCAAAGTGAAAAATACAGACACAGAGTGTATTTCACCAGAGTGAAATAGGCTGACAGTGGCAAGTACCTCTGAGTAATGAGATGAAAGGTGATTCTCTCCCCTTCCCTCTAAACTTTAAATCTTTTGGGGAATTTTCCAGAAACACCAAGAACACTGTATTTTAGCTAAGGAGAAATAAGAAAAAAAAGGTGTAGTTACTTAACTCCCAGTCAGTGGCAGCAAACTTAAGAATCTGAGGTGTCACTCTGGACTTTTATATATTTACAGTGACTCTATGATTGCAAAACCATTACCACCTCCAGAATGAACACATTTGTAGTCCACATTTAATAGATAGTTTGCTTGACATATAAGTCTAGTCCAATGCACATTTTGGGTAAGAAATGCAAGAAAAAAGTTACACAGGATAAAAGACATATACCACCTTGCTGTTTGCCAACACCTTTCAGAAGCAACCGCTCATTTTATCCTGACTACGAGCCAGTAAGGCAGATAAAGACAGGCGGTGGCACATACCCATTTTATAGGTAAGAAAATAGAGGAAGAGAGGGCGACACTCTGGAAAGCGGCAGGGACACTTCAAGTCCAGGATTCTAACTTGGCACTTGGTGCTCTCCCCACTGTATCATGCCATTACCCTATTAATGGCTCGATAAATATCTTAGAATAAAAAGAAATTCCTCACTCTAAAGAAAAACTGAATGATTTAGTAATAATAATGGGCTTTAGAAATGAATAGATCTGAGTCAAAATCAAAATTTAACTTACACACGTATGTGACTTTTTCAAGTTAATGTCTCAGGACTCAATTTCCTCATCTATAAATGGAGGGATAAAATCATATAGCTGACACAATATTGTAAGAGTTAAATGATCTGAGTACTTAGACCAGAGCCTGCTACAGAACAAGTGTAATAAATGCTGCATTCTTTCCTCCAAAAAGAATACAACGCCTACAGTGTACTAACTGCAGATTCCAGGTAGCCACTCCAGACTCACTATTCTACCTGCTTTCAGCAGCCTAGCAAATCTTTACAGTTACCGAAGTGACTGCCCTGCAATTCTTAGAAACCACTCAACATATTAGTTTTAACCAATGACAATTTAAATCATTTTTTGTCAGTTTTAAATAACTTCTCTTTTGTCCCAATAGGTAATTAAACTTCAAAAATCAGAGGCAAACAATTCTTTAAAAAGTAACAACAAAATTTTTTCATTTCTATCACCTGGGGCTTTGGTCTCTCTCATTCAGATTTAACTACTGAAACTCCCAAATAGTTTGTTTAATTTATTTGAGGGTTGGGCAGGGAAGATGGGGAATGACAGGCAGCTCTCAAATTTTTCATTTCCTCTTTAAATGAAATTTGGGCATGGAAGCCCAATCTCCAAGGGGTGCTTTCTCACAACATTCTGTCCACTGACTACGCATCCTGTAGACTTAGGAGCTGGGCAGCTACCTGGCCAAAGGAGAACCCAGAATTTAATAAAGCTTATCATTAGCATCTAAATGAGGAGTCAGGAGGCTGGATGGAAGCCCACAGAACCCCAGGAGAGAGCACTTGTCATTTCACCAGCCCCTGGTCATTTTCCACCCACTCCTTAACTCAAAGGCCATGCCCACTGTCTGCAGAAAAACTAAGCCCTAAGTAACCAGAGAACTTATACATAAATAAGCCAAGACGTGGAAAATCATCCGTTCTGGTGCCTGCGGTATATAGTTTCAAAGGCTGCTACTAAGACAGAAACTTAATGAGATTCTTCGAGTAGGCAGGAAGTGAAAGAGACATTGCCACTACCTACTGTGATGTTAACTGACCTTCTTTTCTCTGCTTCCCAACTTCTGATAACCACATGCTTACAGCTGTATGGTGTCCTAAACTTCCTATCTTAGAATCTCAACAAGACGGCTGCAGTTGATTTCTGTTCTATTTCCTCTCTGGGGAGCAGTGCAGTACAGGGGAAAGAGAATGAACTTTGGAATCAAGCAAACTAGGTTATCAAAGATAAAGATACATGAACACACACTTGCACACACACACACACCCCTCCTAGGGGTTTTGCTTCTCGTACTGAATGCTAATTGATATACTAGCTATGTGATGCTGGGCCCATTGCTTAACCTCTCTGGGCCCCAGGTGCCTCACTGGAAATAAGAACTTCATAGAATTATGAGAAATAAGTGTAAAAATGAATATGAAGCGCCAAATTCAAAGTTTAACACATAGCAGGCATTCAACATTATTTCCCACCTTTCTCCCTACTTCTCTAAAACAGTCCCTACAAACATTAACACTGTTTTAGATTTCATGGGAACCAGATGTTGGCTGTTCAGGGTATCTTCTTAAGAAATGGGTCTCAAGTCACACTGACACATTTGCACCCTGTATCCTTTCCTTTTTGGATACCTCATTCTTCTTAAGTGTAACTTTCATCAAAAAGGTTACTGTGCAATTAAGATGAGCACGTTCTTCATCACATTCCAGTCCTGAAAGCTGAATGTTGGTTCAAAGATCCATCGAAACACAAACTGACTCTTAGGGTGGATTTCTCCTGCTGATGACTGATTACATGCATCATGAGCTGAATTTTTAGCAATTTTCCTCCCAGGTTAAGCTCTTCAAATTCTGGAGCAACTGACTCTAGCCCTCTAAGTACTGTCTACAACCTCGGGTCTAATTTGAACCTGATTATGCATCTACCTGTCTCAGCAATGAGACACAGGGTGAAAACCAAAATCCCCCATCCAATAATACATGTCACTAGCGGCCATTTCCTTGAGGTGGATGACTGAAGGAGATACGCGTCTGCTAACAAAGACTCAGGAGACAAGTTAGCCATCCTGTTCCCTTCCTAACATATTCTGGTTTCTGCGAAAAAGTGAAGCCCAAAGTGGTAAGTCAGTTTAAAAGCTGTGATCTAGTGGCTTCTTCCCAGGAGTGAAGAGCAGTATGTGTGTTTTCATAGAGGAATAGTCATGGTTGGAAAGCTTCCAGTTACTTGCTTATTATTTGGACCTGAAGAGGAGCTGCTCAAGCTTGGAAGAGCTTGCTGATGTAAGATTCCAGGATCTAGTAACCCCAATTGGCCAAGAAGGTGTACGTTTACTTTTTTTTTAACTACTGCTGTAAGATGGCAATTAAGAGGGGGACCAGTGGTAAGGAATCCCGGTGTCTACAGTCATCAAAACAAGAGTGTGAGAAAGGACTTCAGTGAAAGTTATACCTCCTCTTAGATTTCAATTAAAAACTCCTGCTCCAAGTTCATCACTGGGGACAGCATTTTATCATCTCTGCTGGTGGCTTCCTGCTCTAACCACAGAAGGTTCCTTTTGTGGCGACAGGAATCAACTCAAAGAAAAAAAAAAAAACGGGTAAGTTTACAAACGCACCTTCCCTTTTTCCAAGCCTGATTTATCCAGAATGTGTGAGGAGAAATCTGAAATCCCCAACCTGTTACAAGAATCCATCAACCACTAAAATAAATGAAAACTCGGAAGTAAACTGGAAACCCTCAAGGCTTTAAGATATTAAAAGAAAAAAAAAAAGGAGGGGGAGGGAGGCGGCGACAGTACACCCGGTCCCCTGTGTCACGATCTTCCGCTCGCGGGGCCCTTGAGGACAAGGGCAGGAAAGGGGTCCGCGGGGCTCCGAGGCGCTGGGCCCTGGCGGAAGCGCTCCCGAGGAAGGCAAGAGCAGGCCCGGTCCCTACACGCCACACAGCTCAGAGGGGGGGGGCAGGAGGTAACAGGTCCTCTGAGGAGCGGGCTAGAGGAGGGAAGGCGGGAGCGGGGCAGGCGGGAAGGGAGGGACGGGAGCCATCGCCACGCGCCGCGCCCGGCCGAGCCACCCACTGACAGCCAGATGTTCAGCGCCAGGATCCCGCGGCTGTGCCAGGACAAGGGCAGCTCGGGGCGCAGCAGCGCTGCCGTCCGGATCCCTCCACTCCTCCCGCGCGCCCTGGCCGCGACGGGGCACTCACCCGGGGCCACCAGAGGCGAACTCACGGCACCACCCACGAAGACAGCAGCAGCTAGGACAGCGGACCCCGGGAGTCCTCGCGGAGCCATCGCCGCGTCCCTTCGCCCCGGGGCGCTGCGCTCCGGATTCCAGTAGGGTGTGCAGCTCTGGAGCCCGCAGGCGGGCGGATTAGAAGAGCTCAGCCTCCGAGCGCTGCGCACCCAGCCGGGCCGTGGGCCCTCCCCTCAGACCCCACCCACCTCGGCTCGGCCCAGCCCAGCCTCTCCGAGCCAAGTCCCGGGCCCCGCCTGCCCTGGAAGGAGGCCTATTCAGTGACCCCGCCCCCGGGCCCGCCCATCTCAGCCTGGTCCAGCCTCTCCCTTCATCACCCGCTTCCTTTCCAAGTCCGTCCGCCGCTCCAGTCGCCAGGGTTAGTCTATGGCCCCGCCCCTGGGCCCCGCCCGCCAGTCCTGGCCCCGCCCGCCAGCTCTAGCCCCGCCCTCCTCGGCCAGGCTCCTGCTGGCGGCTCGCGGTGCTTTCCCTAGACCCGCTGCACCGCAGCCACCCAGATAAGCGCGGGAGCCCGGGGTCCAGACAGGGTCGCTGGTGCTCGTCCTCCCGGGCGCTGGGACCAGGCGGACGTGGGAAGAGAAAAAGAGCCGGGCAGGAGGTTCTGGATGGGCAGACATAGCCAGTATTGGAATGGGCACGATCTTTTTTCTCTGTTGGCATGTCTATTCATGCTGGCATGCCCCTCGGTGACTGGTCCAGGGAGGGGCGCAGCCGGGATATCAGGTTTCAGTGTTTGAAAATGAGAAAAGGCAAAAAGGCAAATTATTTTAATATCTTCCTATCTCCACTTCCATTTAAGCTGTTCCTACTGGGGAAAACACACCTCTGCGTACATCCAGGAACAATTTTTTTTTTAAATCGTGTGTTCACATTTCTCCTAGCAAATACTTCCACGAAGTAATCCTTCAAGTGCCCAGTCCCTTATTATCTTCTTGTCCTCAACAGTATCCTTAGTTCACAAGCCAGGGAGTAAACCCACAATGGCCAGGCCACCGTGATAAATTGAAATTAGCTTGCCTTCATTGTGTTTGCTCACTGCTGCGCCTTCTGCTCCTGGTTCAATGACAGCACTCACTAAGTTAGAGGTCACAAGTGGTTTTTAAAGTTGAATCATCATCACAGGCACTGGTTGGACGCAGAGGAGTTCCCTCTTTAATGCCCTTTAGAGGCTCCTTCTGAAACAAGGTGGTCAGGCCTTGAACAAAGGCCTAAGAACACCAGCAAGGGTAGGGAGTGGGCACTGGAGTTTTTCACAGAAGCAGGCTCTTCCTTGGCCTGTCAGCCTCAGATTCTCAAAGGAGGACTCTTTAATCTTTGAGTCCTCTGCACAGTCTACTAGACTCTCACAAACGTTTGCACTGAGGTGGGAATTCCCAATGACAGAAGCTCAGACCACTACAGATGGCTAGGGCTGCAGGTTTGAGCCTTTGCCCTTTGAACCCAAAGGCTGGCACTGTGTGCCCTGTGCACAGGTGTCCCCACATCCTGCAGTCTGGCAGGTAAGGCAGTTTTATGCCAACATAAAAAGAGAATGGCTACAGGGGAAAGAGGTCCATGTGGGTCTTGAACTCAAAAAAGGGGAAAGTCCTGAGCCCAGAAATTAAACTATAAATTATAAGTTGTAGTCAGAACCAGCTACATAATTTGCAGAGATCTATGTAAAATAAAAATGCAAGGCCTTTTGTTCAAAAATTAGGAATGTCAAGGTGGTGATGACCTGACATGGAAGCTATCTAAGCATGGGGCCCCGTGTACAGGTCACACACCTGTAAAGCCAGCTATGGAACTTGGAATGTACCAAAATTCTTGGACAAAGATACCTATTCAAAATGTAAAATATCATTTTTAAAATGAATGATGTTTCATTTTTTCCTACAAATTGAACTTACTATTAAAAAGACAGGACCATTTTAAACAACCTATTCAAATTGGATGTCTGCTTATGGCTCTCCAGAAATAAAAATGCAATCCAGTAATTAAAGCCAGAGGAAACCTTAGTAATTATCTAACACGCCCCTTATTTTACAGATGAGAGATAGTTAAGTGACTTGCCTGGTATCTCATTGCTAGTATGAGCCAGGGTTGGAAACCAAGGCTCTAAAATTTCCCTTCTCAGACTTTTCCATAACACTTAGCTGCTTGACACACTCTCTACAGATATTTCACTGTCACACAATCTCATATACATGCACATCTTATCAATGGAGGGAGGGACAAAGGAAAGAAGGAAGGAAGGAAAGAAAATCAAGTTTAAATTATTTTCCAGATACTTAACCCTACAGATTTGCTTACAAGATTAAAAAAGCCCCACATAGGCATATCTAAAAGCCATTGCTTATTGTTTTATTTTAAATGTGATCGAGGTTCTCATTCACATGAGGAAAAGGATGTCATATTTCTTCTGAGGGAATTAAAATTTAAGATCACAAGACTAAATGATCTTCCCATTTTTTCAGAAATAAAGTTAAAGGATCATAGGTAGAAATAGTTGTAACATTAGCAATCCTTTATCTCCTAAATTTAGCCCAGCCCTGGGGCAAGCACTTTCCCTGTGTTCCTTCATCAAATCCTCAGTTGTATATCTTGGGAAGTATTGTCACTGATACTCACTTCAAAGCTGAGGAGACTAGAATTTGAGGGATTAAGGCACTCACCCAAGTCACACAGCTGTTCTGGGTGCTGCCAAGACTCAAATCCAGGGTCAGCTCACTCCAGGCCTACCCTTGAACTTCTGTCTATATGCTTCTGCCTCTGAAATGCAGAATACTAGCCATTTAGCTCTCCTTTTCCATTATAAAGTTTTAATCTGTCATTTTTTTTCTTACCCTGGCTTCTTTGAATTCTGTGTCAACACCTGCTTACATGCATTTTTTCAAGGAAAATTAGTTATTTATAGGAATGTGCTATAAATGTGAGTTCCCAGGAATCACATATACAAAATCATACAATTTTCATCAATTGTGTTTTGCTTTGTTTCTAGTTTCTCTATAAGAATTCAGTTAATCATTTCCCTTGGTAGAAACCTTTCCTGTTTTCCTCTGTGCTGCTAAGGTGCTAATTTTCATCACCGTCATTTAAATGCGTGAGGTTCAGTTGGCTGGTATTTACTCTAATTAAGTTGCAAATACTTCCACAGAAGGTCTCTGTAGAATTTCTTCTTTCTGTGATTTAGATGTAGTCATCTTTCCGTTCGAGAGGTTATATCCAGGAGAGAAGCCTACAGTTCTTTGAAAAATACATTTGCAGGGGATATCAAATGATATTTTATAAAATCTAAGTCTATTTTGATCTGACAGCAAGCATGCACTGTCTTCCTGGTACTGGGCTGAGGGTAGGAGGTTGGGGATGAGAGTCGTTACATATGTAACAATAGATCCTAACCTTGCTTACAGAAGCTTTTCAGAGGTACCTGGGAGAAAGGAAACAACTGCATGATGAAATGGAAATGGTCAAGGCCCAGGGGTCTGGGATAAAGCCGTGCCAATGACTCACGCGTTGACTTTCAGCAGCTTCTCCCAGGTCAGTCTTCTTCCCCATACAATGCAGGAAGGCGACAGGATGATTTCTAAACTTTCCCATTCAGCCCTAAGACTCTACACCATACTAAGTGATAAGATGATAGGGCGCATGGTGCCAACATCAGGCTTTCAACGTAGGGTTTCTCAACATTATCGACATTAGTGGACTGGATAATTCTTTGCTGGGGACTGTTTTGTGCTCTATAGGATGACCTCTACCAACTAAATGCCAGTAGCAGTCTCTCTTCCCTCATTTGAGACAACCAAAAACATTTTCCAGTATTACCGAATGTGCACTGGGGGTAAAATCACTCCTGGTTGAGAACCACTGGGCTCCAGGAAGTCCAAAACCAAAAGGACTGCAACTGGACTCTCTGAGCAAGGCTTCATGGAGCAGGTGCAATGTAGGCTAAGTTGAAAGAAGCGCAGGGATTAGTGGAGAGGTGGAGAAGGGTGTGAGCGCATGTGCAGTGACAGAGTTAGTACATGCAGGCTGCACCGTGATGCGTATGCATGAGGGGAAGGGGCAGAGGAGCACGGCTCAACAATAACTGTGGGTCGGAGCTGAGCCTGGTGGTCAATACAAGGAGAACTGAGAACTTTAAATGCCCAGAAACTGTCATGAATTATACCAAATGAGATTTGTTTTTTAGGGATGCCAAGATTCAATTGTTCAATTAGATATTTTTCGTCGTAAATCAGGAAGTTGCAAATAGAGAAGTCCTAATTTTGCCAACATGGTCAGTAGACCTCAGAGGAATCCGATCGCGAGGTTAGCAGTGGTGTCCATAACATCTGCCTCATTCCTGACCACCAGGTCAAGTTTTGTCTCATGCGCACACCGCCCCCTGAAAATTGCACGTAAGTAACTCAGACCATTTGCTGCTAGAACCTTAAAATCAGGTGGATTGATATGGCTTATTGATTATATGGTTATTCTCTGTGAAGCACAAGAGAGAATTATAGTGAAGAATCACATGATTCCGGCTCAATAAAACCCACAAATGCACATTTTGGAGGACAAACCTTTCAAAGTACAAGGTGTCTTATCTTAGGCAAGCTTCCTTTTGATTGCAATCAGCAGAAACGTAAACACTAGCTTAAAACACTGTAAATTTATGATAATTTATGATACAGATACAAAAAGAGCCAAGCCTCAAGCTCTCAAGCAAATCAGAACCAGGGATCATAGAGAATAAATGCAGGATGTGTGGCTCCCCCTACATCTTTCTGGGCTACCCCACAGTTCTTACTTCTACTCTTAGCAAGTATAGGTTTCCTTTCTGTCTCTCTGTCTCTCTTTTTATCTCTATTTCTCTCTCTTTCTGCTATTTGCTTATTTATTGCTTATTGATCTTGGCCAGGGCCTCCCATGGCTGCTTCACACCCAGGACCTGTTCAGCACCTCCTCCACTGTGGATCAGTGTCCTGTGTCTCAGGAGAACATGGGGATGCCACGTGTAGGGACTCTGAGTGTGGCTGTGTATCCTAGTCAGGGCTGTTGGACATGGTCCTCACGCCGACTGATAGATTCCATATAGGGAAGTATCATGGAAGCAGAACAGAGGCAAGACTGTCCTAAAAAAAGAAGTGATCATCCGCATCAAATGTGCAGAGTAGTCCAGTAACATAAGGACTGAAAAAGTT